ATACTCAGATTATAAAAAATAAATGATGTACTAGGGTTGCATTTTAAGAATATGTTTAATAGTTTACTTGTGTAAAATTAAAGTGAATTTAAGCAAATATTTTAACATTTCAAAAATTAATTTTATAGTTAATATTAAAAATTTAGGTCTTTGAAAGTTTTTGTTTTGTTTTGTTTTTAGTTTTGCTATAAGGCATATATGCCTACCAGAGAGACAGAGAAAGGGGAGGGGGTGAGAAATCAGGCACTAGGGGGAATAGCCATGCTACTATCCCTTCTCCTGTTTCCTCTGGGAGGATTTTGGGCATGCACACATATGCGCTCAGAGTGATTTTCAAGCTGCCAGGTCCGGAACTCTAACTGCACAATCGGCCATGTGGGATCCAGTGCCCCAACCTCCACACCACCTGCTGGCCCAACAGTTATTAAGATTTTTTAAATGCCTGTTACTGTTCTAGCAGCAGTGACTAATCCATAGTGGTATATTCAGTAAGAATGATGTAGATCAGTTAAATTGCAGGAAAAAAATTAGGCAGATTCTTCCCAAGTATTATGTCCATGCAAAAATGCAGTGCCAATAAACTGACAAAACCAAACAAAAATGACAATAAAACTATGGTCAGCTCTATTATTTTGAAACCCACTTCAATCTGAAAGCATTGTGATAGGACCTACACAAAAGCTTTATACTGATTTGTGGGAAAATAGTAAGTCACTGGGCTATTGCCAGGAGACACAGATTCTTGGTTTCAGAGTTACTGAGCTGTTCACTCACTGTGCCAGAACAGCTGCCTTCCCACAGAGTATGCTTGAGTATCTCAGCCACTGAGGCCCAGAAGCGAGCTTGGAACCTTTTACTAATTAGGACGTAAAGGATGAGGTTCAAACAGCTATTGAGGAACGCCAAAGCAGTGGAGGGGTATATATTAACTTAAGTGTTTAGATATATTTGATTTGTTTCAGTTTGTTGGAATCATTTTTCTTGATGCTCAGATTGTCCCATCCTTGGCCGTTGGAGACCACTTCAAGTTCATTTTTGTTGTTATTGTTGTTATTTTTAGGATTTTATTATGGAAAATTTCATATGCAAGAGTAAAATAGTACAGTACTCCCTCATGTAGGCAACATCAGTTTCTTTTTTTTTTTTAAGAATTATTTAATTTTATTTATTTATTATTATTTTTTAAGAGAGATTTTTGCTATAGGTGCGTTTGCTTCCCAGAGAGACAGAGAAGGAGAGAGAGAAAGTGAAAAATCCTTTCTCCTCCATCCTCCTCTTGGGATCTTGGACACGTATGCACACACACCCGGCATGAGTTTTAAGGCTTCAGGTTTGGGACTCAAACCGTGGTAGACTACATGGGAGTCCAGCAATGTAACCATTATGCCATCTGCTGGTCCCAATTATTATTATTATTTTAATTCACCAGAGAGAGAGAGAGGTAAAGTGAGAAAGCAAGCCACCAGGTGTGGGACTTAAACTGTTGATCGAACATGTGGAAGTCTAGCACCTCACCCAGCATGCTACCTGCTTGCCCGACATCACCAGGTTCAACAACTGTCAGACTT